GAGGCCAAGGTGAGTGGATCACCTGAGGTCAGGAGCTCCAAGACCAGCTGGCCAGCATGGTGAAACTATATCTCTACTAAAAACACAAAAATTAGCCGGGTGCCTATAATTCCAACTACTTGGAAGGCTGAGGCAAGAGAATCACTTATCCCTGGAGGTGGAGGTTACAGTGAGCTGGGATCACACCACTGCACTCCAGCCTGGGTGACTGAGTGAGACTCAGCCTAAAAAAAAAAAAGAAAAGAAAACACAATGTGATTAAAGCAAAGGTTAAGAGGAAATGTTTCTAGCACACCATGAAAATATATTGTTTTTGTCAATGAAAAACAAATTATGATAAAGAAAATATTTTTTAAAAATAAATAATGGTCAATCTAAATTATCTTTGACCACTCTTGATTGAGCTGTGTGCCATGAACCAGGCGCTGGGCTAAGCACTGAGGCTAGAAAGATGCCCTCAACAGAGAAGCACTAAAATGCTGCCTGATGAGCTACATGATGGGAGAAATGTGTGGGTTTTTGAAACACACAAGAGGGCTTCCAAACTCAGATGTGGTAGGGAAAAGGGGAAAGACATTCGGGAAAGGTTTTTTTTTAGGGGAAATAGTATCTAAATGCTGAATCAAAGAGAAAATATAAGACAGATAGACACAGACAAGAAGAGTAAAAGACAGAAAGGATAGGGCCAAGAAAGGTGGCGAGGGTTCCAAGCAGAGTGAACTTGAGAAGGTGCAGCTTGTATGAAGAATTGAAGGAAATTCCATTTGCCCCACGCGTAATATAATAGGGGCTCGGAGGGCTAGGGAAGCTGAAGACACAAGCAGAGCCAATCCTGTGGAGCAGTTTGGACACTAAAGACAGCAGGAAGCCCTTGAAGTGTTTTCAGATCTGTGTTTTAGAAAGATCTCTTCCTGGCACTAGATTGGATGCAAGACTGGAGGGAATGGTGCAGGTTTCAAAGCTATTTGATAATCCAGGAGAAAGAGAAGGGTGGATTTGTGTTTGGGTAAAGGGATTGCGGGTAATTTTTCCACCTTCATATTTTCTCGCATTTCCAAACTTTGTTTAATGAGCATGTGTTATTTTCATAATGGGAAAAAATAACATGGTTTTAGGAAGATGAGCCTTACAAGTGTTCTGCCTGAAAGTCCCTCAGAGCCTTTGGGACTAACTGCTAAGCTAGGGGCCTCTGTGTCTGTTCAAGAATTCACACCCACATGCTAACCCGTAATGTTCCAGGCTCTGCCCACAGTCTATACTGAGAGGATGTAATTTCCCATAGGCCAACGACTTAAGTAAAAGCAAAATTTGGCAGATATAACAGCAACTGAGCAGGAAGAGAGAAGAGAGATGGCTTCCAACTAATATGTAAAATCCAAGTGTTCATTCATTCTTTTATCTATTCACAAATATTAAGCACCCGCTGTGTACCAGACACTGTGCTAGGCACTGCAGATACAGAAGTAAACAAAATGACAAAGTCCTGGTTACACATTCTAGGAAATAAGTTAGACCATCTATGAATATAAATTCAACTTACTGTACTCCCTCCCTCATTTGAAGAGGTAGAGCTACATGCCATACTGCTATTTACTGACAAGAGTGGTTTAGGAAACTTTGAGAAGTAATTACAGGTTTGATGATTCATAGCCATACTAAATGTGGCAGCTGTAAACAGAGACCTATGCGTGCCATGGTGTTTGTGACTGGGTTGGCTGGGTTGGGTAACGCTGTTTCTAGAACAGGGTTTTCAGTATCGATTTCATGTGTACCTATGTATACTTACAAATGTAACTCAAACTTCACCATATCTGGCTAGCCAGCGAGTACAAATGAGCTTACGCTAAAATAACAGCACACATTTTAGTAATGTGTTCTCCCAACCATATAAATGGAGACCTTTGCAATCTTTTCTCCCATGCTTATATTTAGGAGCATCCAATGCATCTCATATATTCACAAACAGGCTTCTTATTTATTTTCTGGCATCCAGCTATAGAAACAGCTATTTGGAGCAGCTTCTCACCCCAGCCCTTCGTAGGGATTCTGTTTTCTTATGCAGGAAGCAGTTTAAGAAATCCCCCAAACTATAGCTCTGGGGACAGTAAAACTCTCTTCCGTGGAAAAAGTATCCCTTTCCTCTAACACTGTGGAAAGACCGAGCTGAGCCAGTTCAGGTCAAGTGTTAGGACTCCGTAAGCACTAGCTCTAGAAGCAACTAACAACGCCTGGGTTCACCCGAGCAACATTGCTTGTGAATCTCTGTCTCAGAGAGTTCCTTGTAAAAATCAGCACCTTCGGCTTCTGCCTGCAGACCCCTCTCTACTGAGCACAAACCTAGTCCACAGGCTGGTCTGGGGAGCAGCCATGGTGGCTTCTCTAACTTCTCAGCTCCAACCCCCAGGCACAAATCTCCCCTGGGGCAGAGCAACTCAGCTTGGGCCCTCTGGGGTCACCAGACAGGCCTCTCATGGCTAAATCTCAATTAAGGGCAAGTAGGATGGAGAAAAATCAGTTTTAAAAAGATCAGGCAAGGTTTAGGAGAGTATGAGGTCAGAAAAATCCAGCCCATACCACTGACAAAGGAGGAATTTACAGAGAAGAAAGCAGGCTGGAATCAGTATAAGCCACTCAGGACAGGGTCAATCAACATGCAAATGGACCAACCCAAATAGGTACTACCTCCTCCCCATGCTGCTAGGTCCACTCTGTCTCACAGATAACGCTCTTAGAACTGCTATAGAGGACAGAAAGCCTCTGAGAACCAGGAATAGAAGACAAAAGACAAATTGCCAGGAACCATTTCTAAATTTTAAATCTGTAAGTTATAATCCAAGTTTTCTTTGATTGCAAGTTTTCCCCTAGAGAGGTTAAGGGCCCTTTCAGATGCCACCTTCTGTCCCTTTCTCAGCACTAGAAGGTCGGTTCAGGAACCTACTGTTAGTTCCCATGCCCTTGACTGAAGTTAGTGATTTACAGAAATAAACTCAAATCCCCATCCCCACCCCCAACAAGCTGGAGATGCTGGAGGGAACACCCAGAGACAGACTTGGCCGTCTCCAAGCCCAACTCAAATGCTGCCTGCTCCATGAAGCCCATCTGGAGCTCTCACTCCCAGATCCATACTCCTTCATCTTTTTCTCCTTCTTATAAAGCTCTAGGAGAGGTTGATTTTGGCTCCCTTCACCCTGTAGTGTAGTGATCAGCCTCTCCTGTGGCAGATGCCAGCCCTCATTGCAGCAATCCCTGCAGCCCCATGCAAAGCCTCCCTCCTGTAACAGACACTCAGTAGGCAATTATCGAGTCAAGTACGGTCCCAGAGAACTACTTATTAACATGACTCCTGCAAAAGTGGTGAAAGATTTTCTGGCATTCTCTTTTCCGAAGTCCCTGCTGGCACATATTATGGTAATTGTCAGGATGTTTTCCAAAAGGGATAATGGCCTACCCAGAACTGACACCCAGCCAGTTCAAATCTCTGCAGCATAAAGGCCTACACCTGTTCTGATTAGCCAGGCCCTTCTCCTGGGTCACTCCCGCACACTCCTATGGTCTAGATTCTCTGGACTCCCCACTGCCTTTGCATACTCACTTCCCTCTTCCCCCATCAGGCAGCCCATATGCATTCTTTGAAGCCCAGCTTAACAGTGGCCTCCTGTGTGGAATCCCTCTGGCCTCTCCTCCCAGCAGAGTGAACACTCTTCCCTCTCTGTTCCCTAGCACCCTGCATACTCCCATACAGCACTTCTTCTATGCTGAGATTGTTTTATGTTCCCAGCCCCCCAACTTATGTGAGCTTACGTTTCACTTGTCTTGGCAGATCCAGCAAAACACATTGCCTGGCAGAAGTAGGAACTCAACAAATGTTTCTTGAATGAATGAATGAATGAATGGGCATGACTCTTGCAAATGCTTTCTAAAAAAGATAGCAAGGAAATCCCCTGAGACACGCAAAATTAACATTCTTATTAGTTTGTTATATACAGATTTATGTCTTGCTTTTCAAATTTAAAAATAATAAGGCCTAAGATTGAGTCCTTGCTAGGTGCTGAGTGTTTCACAAGCATTATCTTGTTAGAATCCAAACCACCGTCCGAGGCAGAGATGATTTTTACTTTGTTTTACAGCTGAATTAACAGAAACCGAGAAAGGTTAAGAAATGTGTCCAGATTCATATAGTTGGTAAGTGGGAGTCTGTTTGGCTTGAAAGCCTGCGCTCTCAACTGTCTCACTTTCCATCTAACACACATTGCAGTCAGGACATTTTCCTATGGCATTAAGCTATTTTTTATGCCTTTATTATATAAAGGAGAAGCTTCTACAGATGACTGACCGTAGTGCCTTATTAGTCAAAGTGCGCTGTGCTCACCAGGAGCGCTCACACCACTTGAGAGCTTGTTAGAAATGCAGGATCTCAGGTTCCAACCCAAATGTACTTAATCTGAGTCTGCATTTTAGCAAGATCATTAGTGACATATAAGTACATTGAAGTGTGAGAAGCACTGGTTTCGATCAGGAATCAGCAGAAGACAGCCCACAGACTACTCCAGGCCACCCCCTGTTTCTGTATAGCCCTGAAGCTAAGAATGGTTTTTACATTTTTCAACGGTTGATAATTTTTCAGAAAAGGGATACTATTTTGTAACATGTGGAAATTATATGAAATTCACATTTTAGGCCGGGCGCAGTGGCTCACACCTGTAATCCCAGCACTTTGGGAGGCCAAGACAGGTGGATCACAAGGTCAAGAGATCAAGACCATCCTGGCCAACATGGTGAAACCCCATCTCTACTGAAAAATACAAAAATTAGCTGGGTGTGGAGGCACATGCCTGTAGACCCACCTACTCGGGAAGCTGAGGCAGGAGAATCACTTGAACCCGGGAGTCGGAGGCTGCAGTGAGCCAGGATCATGCCACTGGACTCCAGCTTGGTGACAGAGTGAGACTCCATCTCAAAAAAAAAAAAAAAAAAGAAATTCACATTTCAATGTCCATAAATGAAGTTTTATTGAAACAAGTTCATTTATTCAACTACTGTCTATAATTTCTTTTGTGCTGCAACAGCAGACTTGAGCAGGTATGATGGACTGCGTGGCCCACAATGATATTTACTATCTGGTCCTTTATGCGAAAAGTTGGCTGACCCCTTTCTAACTCTGTCCCTCACCTGTCACCCACAACCCTGTGGTTCACAATGCAAATGGGGAAAAGGGCTACCGTCATGTGGGAAATCTCATGGGGAAAGACCACCCCAGTGAGACCCAGATTTCAGCTGAGGCCTGGGGCCGAAGGAATCTACCACGGAGTGAAAATCCAGAGGCTAGAGGAAATGGGGTTATCATGAGGTGTGGTAAGGCAGGGGTGAGGAGGCAAAACAACGAAAACATGAGAGTACGGATGACTTTGGAGGCAGCTCCTCAAAGGTGAGTGTGGAAGTCTGGCCAAGACCAAGGATGAACGATCAGTGCAGTTTTCAGCCTCAATTTTCTCCCACAAAGCCTCAATTTTCTTAAGGCTGCTGCAAGTTGAAGGATTGGGTGATATCCAAGGAGTTGAAATTGAGAAATTGACAGAATTTTCCTAAGGTCTCCAAGCTGTGAGGGTAAAAAGGTATCCTCATCCCTAAGAAATGCTAAACTTGATGTGTACAAGGATGAAATTAACTAGCTCTCTATTCTGAATTGGAAGCAGTAGCTGCCTGCATAAGGAGCTTATTACATATGCCAACTCCCAATCCCACCCTGAGACCGTCTGATTCAGTGGGAATTTGTATTTTCACAAGCATGCTAGATAATTCTGATGCTTTGAGAAATACTGTCTCTGTGAATGAGGGAACTCAAGCCTCTGGAAGGAATTAGCTGCAGCTTGAGTAGGTCATGCTTCTAAAAGCAATCATTTACATGGCGGAAGGTTTTCTGTTTTCTGGAGCTGTATAGGGCTTCAGCAAGAGGCAGTGGCATTAGAGGGGAATTTCTAGGCTCTATCTGCTAATGAGGTGGAGGCAAGTAGAACACTGCAGGCATCTGAGAAACCCATAGAAAGGCATTAGCTAAGAGAGGGTGTTGGAGGAGCTCAGGACTAACACTGAGGGTCCTAATCCAGAGAATCCTACCAAGTAAGATGTGGAGCACACAATGGCCAAAGAACAGAAATGCTTGCCTCTCCCTCATAATGTGAGAATCTCAAGTGATACTTAACAGATTAGGGTGCTCAGAGTTCAGGGTCACCCTAGGCAGGTGGCAGATCTCATATGTATTTTCAGTTACCCACAGTCTATATGACTGCCTATATATATATATATATATATATATTTCCCTCATGTGCTAGATGGCAGCTCAGTACCAAGTAAATTATGATATGGGCTCCCAAGGAATCTCTAACACAGGGTAGATGCACAGTGACAACTTATTTTTCACAGGTTAGAAAAATAAAAATATCAGGTGGCATGAATACAGACATTGTCTCATGAATTAATAATTAAGTTCCCTAGAAAAGATAGATAGGCAGAAGAAGGACAGGATGGGAAATCAGTGCTTGTTTTAATCTGCTTTGGAGCTACCGTGGAAAACCAGTTGTCTTCTACGTTTTTCTGTGTTTCCTGCTTGTTTAAGGAAATCATGCTGTAAGCAACCAAATTTGAGGTGCAGCATGAAACATCTGTCCTGTTTTGGCTTCTTATCGAGATGTTTGTTCAGCTTTTGCATACAGCACCTCGCTGTCTTGAAACAAAATTTTAAAAAAACAAAAACAAAAAAACATTGCCAGGCTTTTAAAGCTATTGTGCAGGGTTGCTATTAGGAATTCACTACACTTAGACGCTCCAGCCCACCCAGGAATATAGGTCTGACCCGTAAGGATAATAAATCAGGGAGTGAAATCCAACAAAGGCTGACACTCCCTTTGCAGTTATTTTTCAACCCAGAGGCTGCTGCTGCATGTAATATCGCTTACGTAACTTTTCTTTGCAAGGACCCCTCTGGTGCCCCAATCTAGCCTCCACACCCATCGCTACCCATATCATCAGCACGACGACATTTTTGCTGCTCCACCCAGCTGTGAATTTGCCAACAGTTTAAGGATGTAGACATTGAGTAAACAAAGATACAAAACTGAAGTTGGCTTTTGTGCAACTAGCCTTCAAGAGTTGCAGTTCTGTTCTTTCAGGTTTAAAATTTCAGTGCAATAGAGTGAGAAGACTGTCCAAACGATATTACAAAGCTGCTTAGGAATTCCCATCACTAGAAATAGTATTATGTTACTTTGGGATAAAAGATTTTCAATTTATAGTGTAGCTCCCATAAGGATATGGATATTAATCTAGAACAACCTTGCTAGTTTCCATATGCCAGACTTAAAAATAAATGTATGATTAAAACCTTTTTTAAAAAATTCCAACAATACTGAGTGACCATCAATTCTTTAAAAAATGGGAACTAACTAATGGAAATTTTCTTCACGGAATCTGACCTATTAAACATGACATTAAATATTTATCTATTTAAAAGCTCCAAATGTCAATGAAAAAATAAAGCCATCAAATGCTAGTAGCATTTCATTAAGAAAGCAGCTGCAAAAATTGATGAGAGTTTTATAAAGTTAGGAACTCTCAACCTTTACCTGATGGTGAAGAAGCTTCTAAGATTTTCTTTATTATAATCAAAATGCCCAAAGAGGAGGAAAACAGCAGTATGGTGCCCTGAATTGAAGTCCTTCTTTTTCTATGTTTCTACTAGCCCAGCCCTTTTGTAAATAAAATCTTTATATAACTAAAGCAGAATTGACTTCGATGGGAAGTTATGATAACAGTACTACAGTGAAACTGATTGCCAGAAACAGAATAAGCGAGGAATAGATTGGATAATCAGCACATACAGCAACTCAAAAGGATCGTTTTAGTGATTTCTTTTTCATCTTCTCTACTACTAAGTATTTCAGATAGGGATGTTTTTGGCTGCAAGTAACAGAATATCCAACTAACAGTGGCATTAAAAAAAAGGGGGGGGGTCTGGTTTTCAGTTACTGTAATATATAAAAAACAAAATTTAGTAGCTTAAAATAGCATTTATTCTGCCCCTAGTCTGCAATTTGGGAAGGGCTTGGTGAGTGGCAGCTTGTCTGCTCCACTTGGCACCAGCTCGGGCACTTGAAGACTGGGGCCAGAGTCACCTGAAGGCTGCTTCACTCCTGTGTTTGACAGTTCTTGCTGGGAAGGCTCAGAGAGCTGGTGGCTTCACTCCCATGTTTGACAGCTCTTGCTGGGAAGACTTAGAGAGCTAGGGGCTGGGACAGCTGGGCCTCCTTAGGCATCTCGATCTCTATGTGTTCTCCCACATGAGTTCTTCAACATGGCAGTTTCAGTGTAGACTGACTTCTAACATGTCAGCTCAACATTCCCGAGGCACATGTCAGAGAGAAGAAGAAAAAGGCAGAAATCGGATCACCTTGTGTGACCTAGCATGGAGAGTCATGTAGTGTCAAATCTACTGAATTCTACTGGTTGGAATCAAGTTGGTAAGACTGGCCTATATTCAAGGGAGGGTGAATTAGACATTGCTGGGAGGAGTGTCAAAGAATTTGTAGCGTTGTAGGCCGGACGTGGTGGCTCACGCCTTTAATCCCAGTACTTTGGGAGGCTCAGGTGGGTGGATCACAAGGTCAGGAGTTTGAGACCAGCCTGACCAACATGGTGAAACCCCATCTCTACTAAAAATACAAAAATTAGCTGGGCATGGTGGCATGCACCTGTAAGTAATCCCAACTACTCAGGAGGCTGAAGCAGGAGAATCACTTGAACCTGGAAGGCAGAGGTTGCAGTGAGCCGAGAAAGAATTTGTGGCCTTGTATTAAGGCCACAAAGAGAGTTATTTTCCATATATGGTGTTAAAAGGAAAGCAGTCCTGTATAATATGGGGTTCCATAATCTAATAAAAACCAAGAGTTCATCTATAAATCTGAATTTTTAGATTGGCATATTGTCTCAAAGTTGCAAGCTGACTGCTATAGATCCAGACATTGTAGCCATGTTCAAGACCAAGAGGGGTGGAAGGAGTAGTGCCTGCAGTTCTGGCCACTTTTATTAGGAAATCAAAAGCCGTTCCCAAAAGCCAACTCTGCAGAACTCTGCTTATGCCACATTGGCCAAAACTGTTAACCTCCCCTTGTTTCAAGGGAGGTTAGAGCAGTGACTATTCAGCTTCCCCTTTCTCTATTATAGAGGGCAGAGAGGGTAAAGAGAGCCAGAAATGGGCATTGGGTCAGTCAAGCCGTGCTTCTGCCCTGCAAAGCCTCCATATCAGACCCAAAAAATCACAAGTAAGTAAGAGCTTCTAAGAACTTCACTCCCTCAGCCAAGGTTAACTATAAAATGACCCAATATGCTTAACAGACAAAAAAAAAAAAAAAAAGTATTGGCTAGTGAATGGAACTTTTTACGACTCTATTTTTGCAAATAGAATCAAAAACTAGATATTGAATCTAGTGAATTGTTTCTACCGTTTAAACAGGAAGCCGAATTGGTTTCCCACAGAGCCATTTGCTGACAAGATAGGAGGGACAAGGAAGGGGAGAGACCACTGACGTGTGATAAAATGTTAAAGCTGCCCTGCAGATTACCTTGGCTTCAGGGGCCTGGGGCCTAAAAATAATTTAAGGGCAGGGCAAAGAGGAACTCTTACTTGTAAACCTAACCCAAATTGTATATCTTACTTTCTAGCACATTCTTTCTTTTAAGCTTCTGTTACTCCCTAGTGAATGGAAACAGGAAAAACATTTTGAGTTGATGGATTTTATCTAACCCATCTGCAACAATTATTCAAATTTGAGCTTTAAAGTTTTACAACATTCAGCTAAAGAAGATTAAAACTCCTTTCTTTCCCCCATGTAAGCACAAACACTCTACCCACCCCGCCAACTGGCTAGTCTACCTCATGCTACCCTCTCACACAAAAATTTTAAAAAATCACACTACAGCAGATATTTTTCTAGACCCTTCATTCATACAAGTCTTGGCATATTACCCCAACAATAGCTAAAACTGAAAAATGAGACAATCGGATTTATTGACTGATAGTGTCTAGAACTCTCTTCCAGGTAATTTAACAGGTGTCATGAAAATGTGTGCTTAAGGGAGGGTGCTGAATGTGAAGTAAGAATGCAACCACAGTGAGAACTCCAGTATAGTCCCAGGCTGCAACTTTCAATGTCTGGTTAATCCTCAGAGAAGATGGAATAAGGAAAGGAAATATTTTCCTTTAAATTGAAAGAACTCTGACATAAGGAAATTAAATAATTGATCCAAAGTGATATCGCCCATATTAAACAGAATGAAAAGCACCAAGGCATTTGCAAGCACTCCCATTTACAGTTTAATTTAGAATAGAAAGCAATGCAGGTCTATAGTCTAAACAATGGCTAACTTTAACACAAAATAGACTCTTCTTAAACAAAACTCATAAAATGTATACTGTGAGAGTTACCAACCCTTTCGTGAATCGTTTATAAGCTAATGCTCTGCTTTCAATGTTTCTATCAGCTGCAAAATGTAATGAAGAAGCAAAGAATGAGCTTATAGAGATCATGACCCCACAGATTTCTTACTCATATTTCAAATTACAATCATGTTATGATGAAGTTTGATCCTCATGGAGTGTAACGAAATAATATATTTGAACTTTTTATTATTGCCAGTTTGGAGACCTACTATAAGATACTTCAGATACTCCCAAGCCACATAGCAAAATTCGTAAATGCCGTAATCATCATAAATGTATTCTGTAACTCTCAAAAGCAACTGTCAACAGTTCTAGGCCCAGGTTAAGTGTTCGATTCATACTCATTAAATTTCATTGAATATTCAACTTCTTTCACAAACTCATATATAATCTTTGTGCACGAAAATATTTTTGAGATTGGATATTCCCCCCAGTCATTTCCAACTAGAAATTCCCATTGGGTTTTGAATGAAAAGATTTATTAGATCTACTCAATTAGGGGACAAAATTAATAGTCCCCATTAAATACTAATTTGCTTTTTATTCTGCAAAGATTAACACAGATATAAAACCGGGGCTGACCACCCCCAGAACATATGTCTAAGACAGCAAGCAAGCTGAGAGTAATTTGGTACATGAGCTGATTGTCCCTTCCATGCCACCTTTCCACTGACGGTTTTGCTGAAAATGAGATTTAACAGCAAAGGTTTCTCTTTCCTACATCATGCCCAACTTCCTTGGTGGTAGTAGTTTTGGATGTGAGTAACACACACACACACACACACACACACACACACACACAAAGGTTAGATCAACACACATCTACCGAGTGCCCATTACCAGGTGCTATGCTGGATTATAGGACGAGGTACAGCCTCAGGAGTCAAGCTCTCTAAATTCACACCCCAGTTTATCTCTCAGTAGCTGGATAGCCTCAGGCAAGTTCCTCTGTCTTTCCAAGCTCTAGCTGTTTTATCTGCAAAATGAGGATACTAATAATACCTACTTCACGGGAGTTTGTGACTTTCGAATAAGATAATTCGTACGTATACATGGTTGCCTGGCATCTAGTATGTGCAATAAACTTAGCTATAATCACCACCAGCATCCTGGTAGTATGATCCCACAGTCTTTATCCCCAGGGTGAAAAGACACATAGACATTATGCCCATTTTTTGTTTGATAGTTAGTGAAATTCAGAAAAGAGGCACTTAGCTCAACCGGGAATTCAAGGAAAGTCTTTGAGCTAAGGTGAGTAGAGTTAGCCAGATAGAGAGGTATTTCGGCCAGGCATGGTGACTCATGCCTGTAATCCCAGCAGTTTGGGAGTCTGAGGCAGGCAGATCAATCAAGGTCAGGAATTCAAGACCAACCTGACCAACATGGTGAAACCCCATCTCTACTAAAAATACAAAAATTAGCCAGGTGTGGTGGTGGATACCTGTAATCCCAGCTACTCGCAAGGCTGGGGCAAGAGAATTGTTTGAACCTGGGAGGCAGAGGTTGTAGTGAGCCGAGATCGCACCATTGCACTCCAGCCTGGGCAACAGAGCAAGAGTCCATCTCAAATAAAAAAAAAAAAAAATGGATTTCAGGGAAAAGAGCTTGAGCAAAATCATTAGGAGCATGTTGTGTACAGAAACTGGATGTGGTTTGCTATTATGAGACAAGAAACTCAAGAGAGGGAGGGATAGAAGATGAGGCTTGTGAGGGAGATAAGGACTAGGTCACAGGAGGTCTCATAGGTCATGTTAAGGTGACTAAATTTCCTCCTTATAGACCACATCTCCTAAGACAGTTTATAGAAATTTCTAGTGTTCATAGAGGTATTTCATAAAAAGTTCCTTAATATTCCTCAACATAATAGCTTCACTGTGACTTCTGTTTGGAAACATCCTAAATTTCACCCCTTTAGTAATTCACAGTGCATGTGTTAATGTATTGAAGGCTCTGAGAAGTCTTACAATAAAGCAACCTCTTTGTCTCAATTTAGCTCAATATTTTTGAAATAGATAGTATTGCGGGACACCATTTTTACAGAATGCTGAAAGATATTTTGCCGGATTTTAACAAGAATAATGAATTGGGCAGGTTAGCCTCATAAAATTGCTCTAACTACAGAGATGGAGTTCAAAGGAGCACAGTTGGAGAGAAGGTGTGAAATGATGGTAAGCCAGGATACAGAAAACAGAACAGAGTCAAAAAATATTCAGGAGGTAAAATCTATAAATTTTACTGGTAACAGTGGAGTGAGGGAGACAGAACTGTCTAGAATAATACTTGGAGTTCTGGTTTGAGTCAAAAGAATAGTAATGCCACTTACTTCAAAAGTAATACAGGAAAACATGATGTTGGGGAAGGAATGAAGGATGGATAAGGTAAAAAACTTAGTTTGAAACGTGATTAGTTTGAGACACCCATGCGTCTTCCAAGTGAAGTTATAGGTAGCAATGAGTCACTAACCATTCTTTAGTCCTCATCTAAACCAGGTCATCTGACAAGTAATTCCTTTCTCTTCCTTAGGAGTCAAAATTTTGAGGTTAAAATGCCATAATGCATCATGTTCATTTTAGCAGCAAATTTACTAATAATAAGATTATTAATTAATCATTCAAATACTCAGGCTTTTCTTAATGCATTCCCAAATTAAAATATGCAAATGTAGGCCAGGCGCGGTGGCTCACGCCTATAATGCTAGCACTTTGGGAGGCTGAGGGGGGCAGATCATGAGGTCAAGAGATCAAGACCATCCTGGCCAAAATGGTGAAACCCTGTCTCTACCAAAAATACAAAAAATTAGTCGGGCATGGCGGTGCGTGCATGTAGTCCCAAGCTACTCGGGAGGCTGAGGCAGGAAAATTGCTTGAAACTGGAAAACGGAAATTGCAGTGAGTCGGGATCGTGCCACTGCACTCCAGCCTGGTGACAGAGTGAGCCTCAGTCTCAAATATATATATATATATAGTGTGTGTGCAAATATACGTATGTAGACAGGTGAATCTTGCATTACTCAAGATAAATTACTTAAATTCTCACTTAAAAAGTGAATGTGCAATAGAACTACTACCATCATCCAAATGTCACAAATGTACTTAAATAGGTTGATTTCTAATATATAGTAGCAAATAATTTAACAAAACTAATTTTTATATTTTCATTCTATCTCTAAACTTCTTAAAAGCAATAGATACATCTTCATCATCGTGCCTGAGGGTCCAAAACAGTTTCAGACACATGGAAAGTGTACGTTAAAATTTTGTTGAATTACTAAAATTAATTAAAGGAATTCACAGTAATAAATACAAAATTGACAAGTTTTCAATTCTACTCTGTCACTAATTGATCTCATCCGCCCTCTTGGCTTTAAATATGATCTTCATGCTAATGATTTCCAAACTGTTATTAGCTCTGCTCTCCCTTTGAACTATCAGCTCTGCTCTCCCTTTCAACTTTGAAAGTTGAACTTTCAACTTGAGGCTTATAATTTCAACCTTACTTGGCTTTTCCATGTGAATACACACCAGAGACCTTAAACTTAATGTGTCCCTGGTGGCATTACTGATTCCCTATCTTCACAGTATCCTTTCACCCCTTACTTCTTATAAAAAGGTCCCCAATTTTGTTCAATGAGCCACTGTGTCCAGCTAAAAGGCTCAGCTTCCCTTGCAGCTAGAATTGGACACGTGGATATAATATTGGTTCATAAAGTGGAGATCTGGGGGTGGATTTCTGAAAAGGCTTTTGCTTTCCTGACACAGGCACTACACCTACTTCTGTCAGCTTTCCCCTTCTCCTGTCTTACATGCAGACCTTGTGCCTAAAGCTCAGTCCCTCTCTTACATAGGTGAGAGTGAAAGACATAATAAGGATGGGCAAGGAGAAGAGAGAATGTGACTGCAATCTCAGTGGCATTTGTGAGCTACCATACCAGCTGGGTCTGCCTATCTTTGATACACTTTTTGGGTGGACAACAAGTTAATTGATTAATCAGAGAGCTTGTTTGTTTAAGATATGGTTTGTCAGGATTTTGGTTCCTCTGCAGCTGAACACAACCACACACGATATAACATACAAAACAAACATTTTTATTTTCATCTTCAAAAAGCACCTGATGACTACCACCCCAACCATCTCACAGGCCCAATTCCTTCCCAATCATAAACATGTCAGTTTCTACCTTCACCATCGATTCAGTAGCTCAAGAAAATAAAAATTTGGGTACATCCTTAATGGCTCCTTTCTGGCATTACCTCTAAACTATATCTTCAAACCCATCTCCTCTCTACTTCCACCATCCAGCCATCCAACCCGTCATCCTAGCCTCTCAGCTGCTCACTCTGCTGCAGCCTTGACCCCTGCAATCATCCTCCACACAGCATTCAGAGCAGTCATTAGAAAACATGTATTAGGTCATGTCACTCTCAATTTTAAAATTTCAATTGCTTCCTATTTTACTCATAATAAAATCCAAGAGCTTGGCTGCAATGGGCTGAATGTGTCTCCCCAAAATCATGTGTCAAAACTCCATTGTGATGGCATGAGAAATTGGGGACTTTGGGAGGTAAGTAGGTCATGAGGGTATCATGAGAGTGGAGCCTTCATGATGGGATTAATGCCCTTATAAGAAGAGATACAGAGTGCTTGCTTCCTCTCTCTTTCTCTCTCTGCACCATGGGAAGGTATAGGAAAAAGAAGTTATCCATCTGCAAACCATAAAGAAAGTCCTCACCAGGAACTAAATCCGATACCACCTTGCTCTTGGACTTCCCAGGCTCCAGAACTATGCGAAATAAATTTTTTGCTGGGTGAAGTGACTCATGCCTGTAATCCCAATACTTTGGGGGGCCAAGGCAGGAGGATCACTTGAGCCCAGGAGTTCAAGATAAGCCTGGGCAACAAAGTGAGATTCTGACTCTACAAAAAATCAAAAACTTAGCCAGGCATGGTGGCATGAGCCTGTGGTCCCAGCTATACAGGAGGCTGAGGCAGGAGGATTGCTTGAGCATAAAAGGTAGAGGCTGCAGTGAGCTGTGTTCACAGCACTGCACTCTAGCCTGGGTGAAAGAATCAGACTGTCTCAAAAAATAATAATAACAGGAATTTTTAAAATAAATTTTTGTTTAAACCACCTGGTCTATGTTATTTTTGATATAGCAGCCCAAAAAGGCTAACACGCTAACTATGGCTTACAAAGTTCTATCTATGTGGTCTGATCTCATCTTGCACCATTTTCTTTTTTGCCCACTGCACTCAAGCCACAATACTTTCACTTCATTCCTCAAAACCACCACATGGCCCATCTCAGGGTCTCTGTACTTGCTGTTCACTCTGCTTCAATTCCTTTTCCACCTGGCTCTTCCCACTGTTGGCTCCTCCTCATCATTCAGGTTTCAGCTCCAATGTCACCTCTTTAGAGAGACCTTCTCTGACCACCCCATCTCACCTGCGTTTCATGATCTCAACACCCTATGTTATTTCCTTCAAATGTTTGTCTGTCTAAAATTATCTTGCTTATTTACTTGTTACTTTTTGTCTCCTTCTTCTAGATTAAAAGCTTCATGAAGTGCAGGGACTGTGTCTATCTTATTCACCACTCCATCCCCACATCTAGAACAAATTAGGCCCAAATTAGGCCCTTGATAAATATTGTCCTTAATAAATAGATGAATTTTTCTTAAAAGAAAAAAAACACACAGTCTTGGATGCTTAGAAATCTGCCAACATGTATGGTTCTGGAAACATATAATTTTCTTGTCTAAAATCTCCAAGAGCAAAACAGAATTTTGGATTTAAATAAAAGCTTATTCTAGCATATTTAATTCCGAAATCACCAAATGTACTTAATCCTGTTGCTTATCTTCTATCACAGGTAAGCACATACCTGTGTGTGTGCTTACCACATACACTCTTATGGTAGCATAATAAGGGATTAGACTCTTGATACAAGTTGCCAAGTAACTTGTATCATGTTTTTATATAAAACAACCCGTTAGGAGTTTGGAAGGGAGCCCAACAGACTCACAGTTCAAAGCTTCCAGATCCATCCACATGTGGTTGTGCTAAGAAAGGCTGTCTTTCAGGCTATTCCTCTGTACAACATAGAAGGCCAAGAACTTTCCCCAAACTCTTCAGTTACAATTCAGTGAAATTAAACTGTGTAGGAAAAATGTTGAAGGTAATCAATCAGCCCCTTTAAGGGACAAATGCTTTCAAGCCACAAGAAGAAGGGTATACATTTCTAGTCAGTTCTATTTCTAGATGGTTTATTCAGCAATCTGAAGATTTTTATGGAGTCATGCCAGTATTTTCATTACTAAATTCTTAGAGTTGGAAGGAAAGGGGGAAAATACATCATCTCATGCCACCACCCCTCCCAGGGCTACTACATTGGCCGAGCAGAGCAAGTGGAAAGGCTCAGTGCCTAGGGCTCCCAAAGACATGGTCGTGTTGCATCGTGGCCATCCCACTACAAGCCTAGGACCTT